GCAAAAATATCAACAATCTCAAGGTTACAAGTCCATCTCCAGAGAACTAGATTTGCCTTTGTCCACAGTGCGCAACATTATCAAGAAGTTTGCAACCCATGGCACTGTAGCTAATCTCCCTGGTCGTGGACGGATGAGGAAAATTGATGAAAGATTGCAACGCAGAATAGTCCGGATGGTGGATAAGCAGCCCCAAACATGTTCCAAAGACATTCAAGCTGTCCTGCAGGCTCAGGGAGCATCAGTGTCAGCGCGAACTATCCGTCGACATTTAAATGAAATGAAACGCTATGGCAGGAGACCCAGGAGGACCCCACTGCTGACACAGAGACATAAAAAAGCAAGACTACAGTTTGCCAAAATGTACTTGAGTAAGCCAAAAGCCTTCTGGGAAAACGTCTTGTGGACAGATGAGACCAAGATAGAGCTTTTCGGTAAAGCACATCATTCTACTGTTTACCGAAAACGGAATGAGGCCTACAAAGAACAAAACACAGTACCTACGGTAAAATATGGTGGAGGTTCAATGATGTTTTGGGGTTGTTTTGCTGCCTCTGGCACTGGGTGCCTTGACTGTGTGCAAGGCATCATGAAATCTGAGGATTACCAAAGGATTTGGGTCGCACTGTAGGGCCCAGTGTCAGAAAGCTGGGTTTGCGTCCAAGATCCTGGGTCTTCCAGCAGGACAATGACCCCAAACATACGTCAAAAAGCACTCAGAAATGGATGGCAAAGAAGCGCTGGAGAGTTCTGAAGTGGCCAGCAATGAGCCCAGATCTAAATCCCATTGAACACCTGTGGAGAGATCTTAAAATTGCTGTTGGGAAAAGGTGTCCTTCCAATAAGAGAGACCTGGAGCTGTTTGCAAAGGAAGAGTGGTCCAAAATTCCGGGTGAGAGGTGTCAGAAGCTTATTGATGGTTATAGGAAGCGACTGATTTCAGTTATGTTTTCCAAAGGGTGTGCAACCAAATATTAAGTTAAGGGTGCCAATACTTTTGTCCAGCCCATTTTTGGGGTTTTGTGTGACATTATGTCATATTTGCTTTTTTCTGCCTCTGTTTTTATATTTGTTCCAATACATACAAAGGGAATAAACATGTGTATAGCAAAACATGTGTTAATGCAATACCTTTTTTGTGTGAAATACTTGATTTTCAGGAAAAATATCAAGGGTGCCAACAATTTCGGCCATGACTGTATATAAAAAAACTATTTTAAGGACTCAGACTTTAATGGTATCAAATTCAACATATACATATCATATCATTGTTAAAAATCATGTTTATTATTGTACAAAACATGTTTAGAATCCATAAAACACAATATATTTATTCAATGCCAGCCCATTTAAGGGTATACCCAAGTTCCATCTCACTCTATCTCCTAAAGAAGTCGAAGCAAGTCTACAAAACACATAAATCTTGATCCCCCATCAACCAGATAATAAAGTAGAGTTGGTTCTGAGATGTTCTTAATGTTGTACAATTCGATATGCAATCAACGTTATATTTTATGGGCTGATGATGGGTGGGACCAGTCTAGTGATATAGTACTTGGTTATACCCATAAAGGCGCTGACATTGTATACAGTTCCAGTCTTTAAATTTGGTTCTTTAACATAAAATTTAGTGGTATGCGGGTACCTGTAATATTCATGTAATACACAATCTAAATATACCTGAAGTACACTGTAACTATTCTTTTATTTTAATCTGCAGTGTTCTTCTTGTAGACACTATTCTGCTTTAAAAAAAAGGAAAGAAAAATGTCTAGTACACCCTACCAACCAATTTCAATTCATTGGCAATAGCAATATATTGTAGGGAAGTTCAGTAAGGCAACAGGTCCAGCAGGAAGCACACCTAAAAGGAGTAGACATTGGGGTAGACGTACTTCTTTCACTGTCCCTATGCTAGCCACTCACAAAAAGCTCCCCACGCCTTGGAGCCTGAGTCTTACATAGTTACATAGTTAGTCTGGCTGAAAAAAGACAAAAGTCCATCCAGTTAAACCATTTAAAAAAAAAAGAAAAAGTTATAATTTTACACCCACAGTTGATCCAGAGGAAGGCAAAAAAATTCAGCAAAGCATGATCCAATTTGCTCCTGCAGGGGAAAAAAAATTCCTTCCTGATCCCCCGAGAGGCAATCGGACATTCCCTGGATCAACTTTACCTATAAATGTTAGTATCCAGTTATATTCTGTGTATCTAAGAAAAATCCAGGCCTTTTTAAAGCAATCCAATGAGCTACTCTTGAGAGAGTCTATTCCACATTTTCACAGCTCTTACTGTTAAGAAACCTTTCCGTGTTTGGAGATTAAATTTCTTATCCTCCAGACGTAAAGAATGCCCCTTGTCCTCTGTGATGACCTCAGGGTGAATAACTCTACACCGAGTTCACTACATGAACCACTGATGTATTTATACATGTTCATCATATCCCCCTTAATCTCCTCTTCTCAAGAGAGAATACATTCAGTTCCTCTAATCTTTCCTCATAGCTGAACTCCTCCATGCCTCTTATCAGTTTGGTTGTCCTTCTCTGTACTTTCTCCAGTTCCCCAATGTTTTTTTGTGAATTGGTGCCCAAAATTGAACTGCATATTCCAGATGAGGTCTTACTAATAATTTGTACAGGGGTAAAATTATATATCTCTCTGTTGTTCTTTGGTTAGTGTCCGCTCTGCAGTGGGACCTTACCTGTTCCTCTATCCAGCGGCGCGCTGTCTTCCCGGCTTCTGTAGTGTGGGCGCTCGGTTTGACAGCCGGGAGCCCAGTGCGCATGAGCGAGAAGCGCTGCGCTTTGTGATTGGTCTGGCGGCTTCTGGGACCTGTCATGTGTCCCAGGTGCCGCCTTACCATTCACAAAGTGCACCGCTTCTTGCGCATGTGCACTTGGCACCCGGCTGTCAAGCCGAGCGCCCACACTACAGAAGCTGGGAAGACAGCGCGCCGTTGGATAGAGGAACAGGTAAGGTCCCGCTGCAGAGCTGAGCGGCCGGCCCAGTATTCTGACACGGCGGCGGCGGTGGAAATACCAGACTGGCCGCTCCATATTCGATCCATAAGACGCACTGACACTTTCCCCCCCTTTTTTGGGGGGGAAAAAGTGTGTCTTATGGAGCGAAAAATACGGTAATTTGGTTTTTTTTTTTTTTACTAAAAAGCTAGCTGAATACATTTTGGCCAAGATTTATGAAGAAAAAATATTTATTTGCAATTTTATAAGAAAAACACTTTTTTTTCAGAATGTTTGGACTTTTTTTGTATAGCAAAAAAATTAAAATCCCGGTGGTGAATAAATACCACCAAAATAAAGTTTTATCTGTCTCAAACAAATGCAAAAAAAAAATTCATATGAATACAGTGTTACATGACCGCGCAATTGTCATTCAAAGTGTGATAGCACTGAAAGTTGAAAATTGCCCTAGACAGGAAGGGGGGGGTGAAAGTGTCCGGACTTGAATCGGTTAACATTACAATGCTTTTTTTCTTATTAAGGCAAAGAGCAATTTTCAAATTTCAGAAACCTAAAGCAACTAGTCAAAAATAATCATTCATAGTTTTGACAGCACTAACTTGATGAAAACTGATCGGTTGTAATGTGTTACTACACTTTGTACATCACCACTGCCCTGTCGCACACACACACCATGGTGCACACACTGAGCTATTTGTTAGGCTGATTTAGGCTTTTTTTACTTAAGAGGGAGAGAGGAGGTCATGTGCTAACGAGTGTCCCAGGCATTCCCTGCACTCTTCTGCTGTCAACACAAGTTTGCAAGCTGCAGTCTGACATGGCAGCAAGAAAGATCGACTTCCCATAAACCCCCTACTGCCATTTGCCTTAATTGTAGCCTTCATTCACACTGGCTAAATTCAGCAGAATTTGTGTTTCAGTAAGGAGGGGCCGGTGAGCTTTAATTCTGAAACTCTCCCACAGTGCTGCCAGCCAAATTAAATTATACATCCCCATAAGTCCAGTTATATATAGACTGGACAAGAATGCTGGCCTTGGCTATCACTGCGGTATAAATCAGGCCAATGCCTTGTTCAGCATATCATTACACTCTGACCTAAAGCCTTCACAATGTGAACAGAACATTGCCAATCAGACCACCAGTAAATGAGTTACGTAGTTATGCAGTGAAGACCTCCAGCCCAGCTGAAATGCAGGATTTAAAATTAGAAGCTCTCCAAATCACTAATACAACCGTATTTACACATTCATTGTAACGGGAGTGCAGCTAATACCTAGAGAAGCGAAAAATGAAGTGTCCGTGCCTGCCCTTTTCACTAAATCATGCCAGCTGGCAGTACAACTTCTACAGGGAACAACCAAGGAAGCTCCTGTTGCATTAAAGACATCAGTTCATGGGCACTTTTTAATAGCTCAATCTTGTTATTATTGCTAGGGATTAATTGCTATGTGTGGCAATCAAATGTTGCATATTGGGAAGAAATGGCTTTCTATAGCATGGGACACAAGAAGTAGCCATACATATTTATTTTTTTGGCGAAACAGGACAGAAGTTGCAAACAAGGATGAATTTGCACAGACATACGGTCAAGGAACATAAAGAAGAAGACTTTTGCACACCTGTGGGACACCATTTCGCACAACCAGACCACACAATGGGAGACCTCAATATCTTAGTTCTTAACCACTTCCCGACCGGCCGTTGCATATAAACGGCCGGACGGTGGCACTGCAGGGTCAGGTGGCTGTTTATAAACGGCCTCCCCACACCCTGCTTGTGCGCGCGCTCCCTGGGAGCACGCAGCACCGCGATCCGGTGCCTGCTGTGTCCTCCCGGACACAGTGAAACACTGTGAAACACTGTGAAACATCGTCGGACGGGACCTCTGTACGAGGTCCCGATCATGTGATAACTGATTGGCCAATCAGTGATCACATGCAAAGTAGTAAGCAAGATGTCACTTGTGACATCATTGCTTACTACGTGTGAAATCTGTGAATGATCACAGAGGTCACATGGTACAAGGCTATTCACAACAGCCTTGTACCATGTGACAAGCTGTGACCAATCACAGCTCACTCAGTACTTCTCAATGAGTGCAAGACTGCAGACAGAGAGAAAAAGAAATGATTGCTTTTACATCCTATATGGGTGTAAAAGCAATCAGTGTAAAAAAAAAAAAAAAATCTTCATCACCCCCTACAAGTAGTACAGTGTCACCATGGTGACACTGTACTGCTAGGGTGACAGTATGTAAAAAAAAAAAAAATAAATAAAAAATAATAATATAAAAAAATAAAATTAAAATTAAAAAAAATTTTTTTAAAAATTATAATTTTTGGTTATAAACTAATTTGGATTTTTTTTTTTACTTAAAAGATAACGGAATAAATTTTGGCCAAGATTTATGATGAAATACTATTTATTTGCAAACTTTTTATAAAAAAAACACTTTTTTCAAACTTTTTGGACTTTTTCATTTACATAGCAAAAAAAAAATAAAAATCCCAGCGGTGAATAAATACCACCAAAATAAAGCTTTATCTGTCTCAAAAAAATGGTAAAAAATTAAATTGGGTACAGTGTTGCATGACCGCGCAATTGTAATTCAAAGTGTGATAGCGCTGAAAGCTGAAAATTGCCCTGGTCAGGAAGGGGGTAAAAGTGTCCGGTCTGGAAGTGGTTAAAGGAAATTTGAGTACTGTCCGTGATACTTTTTTTTTATTTGCACTAACATACAATTTTGAGGACAAGCTTTCGGGGAGTGTCCCCTTCTTCAAGGTCCAAGCAGTACTCTCTGCTAGGAGTACTGCTTGGACCTTGAAGAAGGGGACACTCCCCGAATGCTTGTCCTCAAAATTGTATGTTAGTGCAAATAAAAAAAGTATCATGGACAATACTCAATTGTTTCTGTCGCAAATGCACTAATACGGCTACAATCACCTCAAGCTAAAGGAAATTTCAAATCCATTCAGGAAAGAAAAAACTTTTGAACTAAGAATAATAATTCTATTTGACACAAGAGATAAGGGCCTTAATTTGGACATGGGATTCCTCAACCATTATCCAACAGTTTTAGGACTATCACCTCAAGCATGACTCCCTCTGTGAGTGTTGTCTCCCCCCCCCCCCCCCCCCCCCTTTGCTTGTGCTGTGTCTTATCTCTAGCCTCTTACTTTTTTTTTTTCATCACTTCTAACATTCTGCTTAAACTTTGTGAATAGTACTGCTTGGACCTTGAAGAAGGGGACACTCCCCGAAAGCTTGTCCTCAAAATTGTATGTTAGTGCAAATAAAAAAAGTATCACGAACAGTACTCAATTGTTTCTGTTGCACTAATAAGGCTACAATCACCTCACACATATTTACCAAATTAACCATTTCAATACCTGGCAATTTTACACCTTCCTGCCCAGGCCAGTTTTCAGGTTTCAGCGCTCTCACACTTTGAATGACAATTGCGCAGTCATACAACATTGTACCCAAACTAAAATTTTATCATTTTTTTCACACAACTAGAGCTTTCTTTTGGTGGTATTTAATCACCGCCGGGGTTTTTATTTTTTGCTAAATTAACAAAAATAGACCGAAAATTTTGAAAAAAAAAAACACGTTTTTCTTTGTTTCTGTTATAAAAGTTTGCAAATAAATAATTGTTCTTCATAAATTTAGGCCGAGATGTATTCTGCTACATGTCTTTGGTGAAAATAACCCAAATTAGGATGCATTTTTTAGTTTGTAGGAAAGTTATAGAGTTCACAAACTATGGTATAGATCTGAATATTGATCAATTCTGAAGTACTGACGGCCAATCTAATTTCTTGAGGTCCAAGAATGTCAGAATAGTACAGATATCCCCCAAATGACCCCTTTTTGCAAAGTAGACAGTCCGTCATACTTCATAAGAGGCATGGCGAGTTTTTTGAAGTTGTATTTTTTTGTCATAATTTTTCGGAAAATGAAAAAATAAAAAAAAATATTTTCACTATTTTTTTTTTACATACTGTCACCAGTGCAGTACAGTGTCATCATATAACTGGCATGGCGGTGATCAGGGACACTGACTGGTGACAGTGTGAAAAAAAAAAAAAAATATATATTTTTATTTTAAATTTTTTTTATTACATTTTTTTTTCTTTTTTTTTAAGATTTTTTTTTCATATTTCACTATGTCCAAAGTAGTACAATGTTACCATAGTAACATTGTACTACTTTGGGGAAGTGATCAGTATTTTTTTTTTTTTTTTTTTTTTACACAATTTGCTTATAGCAAAGAATTACTTTGCTATAAGCAAGCATTTACCTGAATGACATTCAGGGTTGATTTATTCAGGGTTTTTTTTTTTTTTTTTTTTGTGCTTAGCTGTGATTTGGCCACAGCTAATCACGACATGTGCATGTGATTAGCTGTGACCATTCACAGCTAGACACTAGTATACAATGGATGGCATGAATGAAGCCATCCATTGTATACAACTGTCATCTGACCTGCTGTGATTGGTCACAGCAGGTCACATGGTACCGGCATCGGGGGCCGGTACTCAGATCTGTCATCGGCCGTGTCCGAGGTACACGGCCGGTTGACAGATCGCGCCGCAGCGCGGCTCTGCAAGCGCGCGAACTGCGCATGTGCGGGAGGACGCCATATGGCGGCCTCCCGGAAAGGTAATGCATTTTTGCGGACGCCATTTGGCCATAGGCCAGGCGTCAAATGGTTAAAATGCATTTCAAGTAGAAATCCCATTCATTACTATAAGGCATATTTATAAACTTAGTGCACATTTTTGCACCTAGGCAATGCAGGACAGCGCACCTGTGTGAACAGGTATGCACGCCATAACAAACAGAAGTGAACCCTCTATACATTGTGGTGCACTGCATTGCAAAGAATGTTGCATGTCTGATAAAATATGCCTTGTGGAATATTTACAGCTCATTTACAGTAAAAGGGTGCCTTAAACGCATGTTAAATACTGAATGTTAATGAGTGTGCAGTAAAGGTAAAGAGGTGCAGAATGCCCATTGTGTCTCGATGCACAAAAATGCGTTTATATGTGGGTTACCGTGTGTGTGACTAGGCCCTTAAACAGGCCTGCTGAATAGTGAACAAACAGAAACATATGGCTCAGTACATTCCCACCTTTGAAAACCTCTATTGTGCTATGTTCCTCCCCCAGTTTGATGCATAAATACAAAACGTGCACTACCATACATCTAAAACCTTCTTGTATAGTTCTGTGATCACACAGGTCAAATGTACCCTTATTTGCTAATTTTTTTTTCTTTTTATTGCACTTCTTTGTGTTATAGCTTTTGTACCATTTGTTATAAACTTTGAAAAACCAAATAAAAACCTTTGTAAAATAAACCTAAAAGTGCATGGAAGAAAATGTGAAAAGGCAATATAGTAACAAGAATATATGAACCTTACTGAGATTATAAAAGTTTTCTAAAATGGCTTTGGGTATATGTTTTACAGCTAATTTAAATTCAAATAGTGCTTAGCCAATTCAATTTGAAATGGATAATGTCAATGTTATATTCTATTTACATACCTGATGACTTGGTGAATTAGTAGAAATACTTTCTTAATTTCTTACAATTGCATGGTTTAAATGCTACGGCCACCCAAAACTGTAAAATCTGTACTTGGTAGACTAAAATTGATGAGCAAGAATATGGGCATGGGTGGAAACAACACAAAGCTGGGATCTTCCACACACACAAGAAGTCAATGATTCAATCTACCAGTATCTAACACAACTGATAAGAAGCTAACACAACTTAGCTTCTTATCAATTCTGGGACCCTGAGCAGTAATCTATATGGATGCAGTCATCATTATTTTGCTTGTCTTTAGCTTGAATATGTAATGCAGGGCATAAATAGAAGAAATTGGCAGTTGATCACATGACCCAAACTTGATCCATTTCTTGCTTTTGTACATTTCTCAAATCAGGGCTAGACAAATTGCCACGGAGGCTGGAAAAAGTACCCATGCAACCCAAAACACCAAAGGTGTCACCAGGTCCATGGACATGGCTTTTGGGTCCGCACCACTGCTTATAGTGCAGTGACTAAAGGTGTAACCATAATTATTGATCACAATGTTTCCCTTCACAGAACCCATTCTTAAAAATGTTGATCATTTGTCATATGAAACAGAGCTCAATGGGAAGATGGGCCCCACCATCCTTGCATTTTGTAGCAGTCATACACTAAATACTATAAACCCAACAATACCCACTAGAGCCTAGGTGGAAAAAGACAACCCTATATATGTTGGGAGGGGGGTAAACTACAAGGCTATTGTGGGTTGGGTGAAGGGGACTGCAAAAGTCAGATCAAAGCTGCACTGTTGATGTTTCAAAGTGCCTCTGGGGTCTACGTTTGTACATTCAAAGGCCCGGTCCATTCTGTCTGCTTACAGAACATCACACACTGAATTATGGCCTTTTATCTATGTTAGATGCATGCATAAGTGTGTGCACAGTGTGTCAAAGGCATGTGTGTCTTAGCATGTGTTCCTCATGATGGGCATGCGCACAGGCCTAGGATGGTATTTAAACTCCTTCCCTTATGATGGTTGGTGCTGTGACTTCTTGCAAGCTACTTTGTTTGTGAGAGTGAAAATTTCTGCCTTTCCTGTTATTGACCAAGATCACATGTCTCCATCTGTGTTCTCTGTTCCTGTTAACTCTGATTTTCTCTTACTACTCTTGCCTACCTTGACCTCTTATTGGACACCAACTATCGCTGCCTGCCTCAACCGCTGCCTGAACAATGACCATTCTTGCCCCCCGCCTTGAATTGTGCCTGAATACTGAATATTCTTGTCTTCAACCTACCCATAGCCACCCCACTCTTGCTATTACTTAGTGGAACGATCCTGAGAGCTGCAACCTTGGGACATCTTGCAACAAGGTAGACTGGGGGCCAGTACAGTCACTTTTACCAGCATCCATTGCAGACTGCTCTGGTGAGAACCAAGGTGCCATTTAGACTCTGTGCCTTACAAGAGCTTGTGCCTTCTGCCAGGGAATAAAGCCATAACACGCTGGATCTTTCTATTTTGGAGATGGCTCTTAAGCTTTGG